CATGCCAGGAGTCAGACACAGACTGAACCCACAGCCTGGGCACAACATGAACAGAACTCACTGCTACTGCTCCTACCAGAGAGCAGAAAAAGGGATTAATAATGGAATTATGGAATGCTTTGGGTTGGAAGGGACCTTAAAGTTCATCCAGTTCCTGCCATGGGCAGGGCCACCTCCCACTAGCCCAGGCTGCTCCAAGCCCTGTCCAAGCTGGCCTTGGACACCTCCAGGGATGGGGCAGGCACCTTCTGGGAAGAGGGAAACCAGTACTTCCAGCTGTTGTAGTAATCCTCTTTTTGGACCCAAGGAACTGCTTGTTTTTCCAAGTTCATTGCAACCATCACTCAGCTAAAAGCACTTTCACCACTCAAACCATCCCTTTGCACCAAGTTTTTCCCCATTCTCTATCTGGGACTCCTCCCTTCCCAATATTAATACATCACAATCCTGGGTGAACAAAACCTCCCGGGATGCACAAAGAAACTTGTTGTATTTGTTATCTCAGGGCTGATTTTAAAAAAAACTTCACTGCTTAAATGTGCCAATATGAAATGATTCCAAAGCAAGTGCTTCCAGCTCAAAACCCCTTCTAATAAGTGCCAAAGAAATAATTAAAAAACACAATAATTTCACCAGAAAGCAGTTTTCTTACAGTCTCACATTTAAAATCAGAGTTTTGCACAGCTCTGGCTGCGTTCAGAATAAAACGTGGGTGATGAAACCTCACAATCACTGCTTGTTCTCCTGGGATTTGTAGAGTTGCAGTCAGGTGAGCAAAGCCCAGGAACACAGAGCACAGCTGCACCTCCAGCAGGGGTTAAGATCCAGGGAAGCTCTACATCCACCACTGGGAGGGATCTCCCAAAGCTCACACGGCCTTTGTTCTCCTGAGCTGTTACCATTCAGATTTCATGGGAAAACATTTTTTGTGACTCATCTGAATTTGCATTTGTCTTAGTCAGACAACAGTGATTATATGGTGGAGCCCGGTTTTGACATTCAAATTTTTGAGCAGCCACCCTGGCCAGAGGAGCCTCCCTCCCTACCTGTCCCCAGGTCCCAAGGGCTGGAGCTTCACCTGCCCACCCCAAGGAGCTCCAGAGGGTGCCCAGAGCTCCCACGGCTCCTCCTCCACAGCTCGCTCCAAACCACCTTGACACGCTGAATGCCGATAAAAATCACCCAAAAAAAATCAGATCTCAGGGGTACACTGACAGGAAGTCACTCAGAGTAACATTTTCAGCATTGAAAATCCAGAAAACCTGCTGGTAGCACGGGTGGCAGCAGGGAAGGTACTAAAGCTCTCAGCTACACCGACAGGTGACCCAGAGAGGAGTACCCACAGAGCACGACCCAGAAGCCACAGCAATCCCCAAAAACAGACACCACAAAAATGCCTCCTGCACCAGAAAACTGCTGGAGTTCTTACAGCTCAGAATGGCTTGGGACAGACTGAGCCTGCCCTGATTTTGTCCCCTTTCCACCTGCGAACAGCAAGGCAGCAGTGGAGGCACAGCCTCCATGCAGGGATGACTATGGGATTTCTCGCAGAAATGCCACTGGAATATTTATAGTGCCTGAGATGGGGCAGTGAAACCACTCACACAGGCACCTCAGCACATCCAAAAGCTTAACTGCTGCTTTAGCAGGAGATGTTAGATTGAAGTGACTCAAAGTCAGAGTATGTCAAATTCCACGGACAGTAAATCATATCCCAACGGCCACCATGGATTAATCAAGGTGTAAAGATGAGATGTGACATGAATAGAAGTTACTAATGTGAACCAGAAATGCTTTATTATTTTATATCTTGCCTTACACAGAAGACAGGCCTTTGGTTTTAGGGAATTAAATCCCTCCTCCCCACTCATCCTTCACAGATATGGATGGGCTGGTTTCAATATTCCTTGAGATCCCTCTTTCCCCTACAGACTAAAGACTGAACCTTCCAGCAGCTGAAGCAGCCTCAGGAGAGCTGGAGAGGGACTTTGGACAAGGGATGGAGGGACAGGACACAGGGAATGGCTTCCCACTGCCAGAGGGCAGGGCTAGGGGGATATTGGGAAGGAATTCTTGGTTGTGAGGGTGGGCAGGCCCTGGCCCAGGTTGGGCCCGGAGAAGCTGTGGCTGCCCCTGGATTCCTGGGAGTGTCCAAGGCCAGGTTGGAGCAACCTGGGCTAGTGGGAGGTGTCCCAGCCCATGCAAGGACTGGGACTGGATGAGCTTTAAGGTCCCTTCCCACCCAAACCGTTCCATGAGTCCATGGGAAGTCCCTGCTGCAGCCACCACCACAGCCTCCAGCACGTTTTACCAGCTGGACTATCCCAGATTCCGGGGGAGCTCCAGGCACACAGAGCCCTGGGGCAGAGCTGCCACACCGCCAGGCTGTTGGGTTTATCCAAACACAGGCAGAGGCTCAGCCAAGGGCTGCTCACCTCCAGTGTCACCCTCTGTGTACACAAGTGCTCTGGGAACGGCATTTCCTCCTTGCTACAGGTCAAAGACTCCACTGGAGGTTTTCCCTCAAACTTCCCTCTTCCAGCTGCAAAACCAGCCCCAGTGGCTGCTCTGCTGGGACTTCCCACAGCAGGGACCACCAGGGAAAGCACCTTCCCAGGCTCCTGGACTGGCACAGCTGCAGTGGGGGAGAACCTGGGGCAGTCTGGACCTGCAGTTACCAGTGGGAATCTGGAATCACGTTTTCAGCCAGGTTATTCCATCGCTTTGTATTAATGAGGAGAACAATGCACTGGACAGGTATTTTATCCCAGGTTTTTCCTTCATGGATAGGCTGCTTTTTTTCCAAGGTGCTAATGTGGAATCTCCCTTTCAACTGGCACTGCCTGCACAGGACACTTCTGCCCAGGTTCCCCCATCAACTTCACAAAAAAAAACCATGGAAACAACACATTTAAGGCATCTTTGGGCACTTAAGCATCACACAGAACACCTCTGTGTACCCCAAATCCTGCCAAATTCCACCATGAGGCCACGAGCCTGACACACCAAGGGATATTCACAGACACCACCACCAGACAGCCAGGCCAGAACCCAGGGAACAAAACACCTCTGCCTCCCAGTTTATGCACTCCAGAAACAAATACCCCCTGGTCAGAAGTGGTCTGACTGGTGGGAAACACCTCCAAAATCTGCACGTCCTAAACTCGGTGATCCTGCTCTTGCAGGCCCCAAACCCGCAGTCAGACCAACCAACACTCGTTACTAAAGCACTAATTACTCCAGGCTCACTAAGAGCACAGGGTCTGGGGAGCAGGAGCCTCCGTGTGCCCGCTGACTCCTCAGCTATGACGTTGCCTATTTTTAACCTCGGGAATTGAAATAAACCTTGGGAGCGGGATGGGAAGGCGAGGAACGCCATGTGATCCCAGCCAGGGCCTGCCAAGCAGGGCTGGAATACAGCAGGGCAGCAAATCCCTGCAGCCCCCAGAGCCAAGGGAGCCCTGGGAAGGGGCAGCATTAACCCACTGTCACACACAAACGAAGCAAGACCCCGAGCTGAGGCCTTAAAAGCTTTCGGGCAACAACACTCTCGACACTTCATTGTCCCAAACATACCCTTTTTCCCACTTTAAATGACCCAAGGCTTGCTTAAGGCAGTCTTTTGATGTGTTATAGTCCAAGCTGCAATTTTTGGGTGCCATTTGCACACGGATGAGGAAGTCCCCAGGCGTGTACTTACACCCAGCACTGAGATTGACTCTGACACGCCACGTTCTCCTGCCCTCAGCGAGCAGCTGCACTGCCCATCATTTCAGGGGTTTACAGCAAGCACAAAAGCCAGACTCAATTCAACCCCCCCCAAAATCGTTTTCTTTTTTATCCAGATGTGGGTAGATAGGTGTTACACTACTGGGTGCTGCAAGAAAGAGTAGAGACAGGGATTCTCCTGAATCTCCAGAGCCAGTCACCAAGAAGGTGAGAAGCTGCTGACCTGAACTCTTCATCTGCAAGACAAGATGTTCAGGGAAGGCAAACAAAACGCTGGGACACACCCGGAAGGATGTCAGGTCCCAGGCCTGTCCCACAGCACAGATTACACGGAAAAAAGGAGAGCCTAGGGAAAGACACATCCCTGCCCGGTGATGTCAGAGCAGCTCTACCTCGGTCAGGAGCTGCACAGCGAGGAAAAGGGCTGGAGCCAGCCCGGCCGAGGGGGGGGGAAGGACAGTTTTGTTGGGCGAGAAAACAGACCCCACCCACGAGCGCGATCGTTCCCGAGCCACATCACCGGCGGTGCAAGCGCAGGCCCGGGGCTCCCACCGCCCTCCCGCCGCCCGCGGGGACGGGATTAGCGCTGATGGAAGGGGCCAGGTGGGCTCCGGCGGCTGGCACGGGGCGCGGGGGACGAGCTGCCAAGGCCGAGGGGCGGCGAGGGTCGCTCGGGGTCAGCCAGGGCGAGGGAACTGCGGACAGGGAGGGAGGGAGGGGAGCAGGGACAGAACCCACCCTGCCCTGCAGCGGGGGCGAGGCGGCGTCGGGCGGCACCGGGCCCTGCCGGGGCTCCAGGGCGGGGAGGGGACACAGGAGGGGCTGCAAGGGACACAGGGGGTCCTTGGGGGGTGACACAAGAGCGGGGGTCCCCGATGGGACACAGGAACGGGGCTCGGGGGGACGCCCTGGGGGCTGACACAACGGGGTCCTGGGGAGCGGGGACAGGAGCGGGGATTGGGGGGTACACGGGATTCCTGGGAACGACAGAGGAGGTCCCGGGCAGGGACACAGGAGCGGGACAGAAGGGGGACACAGGGGGTCCCTGGAGGTGACATGAGATGTGGGGGGGGAATATAGGACATAGGAGCGGGACTGGTGGGGACACACAGGAGCGGGTCTGGGAGGTCACAGCGGGCCCGAGAGGGACACTGGAGGTCCCTGGGGAGCGGGGGACACACAAGCATCGGCCGGGGAGGGTGGGGGCCCGCGGGAACCGGGGGGGTTCTGCAGATCCCGGTGGGGCGGGGGAGGGGAGCGAAGGAACTGACCGATGGTGGAGATGAAGGTGGTGTTGAAGGCATCGTCGGAGAAGCGGAAGAGGACGCAGGTCTTGCCGACCCCCGAGTCCCCGATGAGCAGCAGCTTGAAGAGCAGGTCGTAGGTTTTCTTCGCCATGGGGGAGGGCGCGGCGGCCGCCGCCGCCCCTCCTCGCCGCCTCCTTCACCGGGCCCGGCCGCTCCCGAGGGCGGCGGCGACGGCGCAGGACGAGGAGGAGGAGGAAGAGGACGAGGGCAGGAGGAGGAGGAGGAGAAGGAGGAGGGGGCCCACAAAATGGCTTCCTGTGGCAGGGCGGCCTCGCGCGCTCCCCGCGCCCGCGGCTCCTCACGGGGCGGCGGCGGCGGCGGCGGTGGCGGCGCCCGCCCTCATCCCCCCGCGGCGCTGTCGGCGCTGCGTGCCCGGCGGTGCCCCGGCCGCGTGCCGGGTGTCCCGGCTGTGTCCCCGCTCTGTCCCGGTTCTGTCCCGGGTCCCCGCCGGGATCGCGGCCGCTCCTCGCAGGCGCTGCCGAGCCTGCGCGCGCCGCCGGACCCCCAAGGCCCCGCCCCCAGCCCCGCGCACCGCGCAGGCCCGGCGGGGGCGCGCGCGCCGCCCGTGACGTCACCGCGCGGCCGCGGCTGTGCCGGGGGGGGGATTTTGGTTTTTTTTTGTTGTTGTTTTGTTTTGTTTTTTTCTTTCTTTGATTCCCGAGAGACGGGGACGGGGATGCAGCGGGGGCGGGGGGGGGAACATCGTGGGGTTTAGCGAGGCAAGGGGAAGGTGCTGCGCTTGGGTGTGATCAACCCCTGCGATCGATCCAGGCTGGGGATGAGCAGACCGAGAGCGGCCCTGGGGACAAGGACTTGGGAGAGCTGGTGGGGGACAGGCTGGACAGGGCCCAACGTGGGCAGCAGGGCTGGGTGGATCCTGCCCCTCTGCCCCCTCAGCTGAGACCCCCCTGCAGAGCTGCCCCAGCCCTGGGGAACAGCAGCACAAGGACGTGGAGCTGCTGGAGACAGTCCAGAGGAGGCCACGGAGATGCTGCCAGGGCTGGAGCCCCTCTGCTCTGGAGCCAGGCTGGGAGAGCTGGGGGGGCTCACCTGGAGAAGGATCCAAGGAGACCTTGGAGCCCCTTGCAGAGCCTACAGAGAGAGTAACCAGGCATTGGAATGGGCTGCCCAGGAAGGTGGTGGGTTCACCGTCCCTGCAGGTTTTTAAGATGAGACTGGATGTGACACTTAGTGCCATGCCTAGTAACCACGGCGGTTTTGGATCGAGGGTCGGATTTGATGTTCTCTGAGGTCTTTTTCCAACTCGGTTGAGTCTACGATTCTGTGATTCTGAAGGGGCTCCAGGAGAGCTGGAGAGGGACTGGGGACAAGGAATGGAGGGACAGGACACAGGGAATGGCTTCCCACTGCCAGAGGTGAGGGTCAGATGGGATTTTGGGGAGCAATCCCGAGACACCCCGGCCCAGACCCCGCTCAGGTGGGACCGGCCCCGCAGAGCCCACCCCTCGATGACGTCACCGCCGGCCGCGCGGCCCCGCCGGCCCCGCCCCTGCGCCGCCATAAATCCCGCCCCCTCGCCGCGCTCCCCGCGCTCCCATTGGCTGGGCCCGTCTGCCACTCAAAGCTCCGCCCCCGTGGAAACGGTGACGTCATGGCAGAGGAGGCCGGGCGCGAGCGCGGCCCCGGGCGGGCGGTGGGGGGGAGGGAGGCGCCCCCTGGCGGCGCCGCGTGAGGGGGCAGGGAGCGCTCCCGGAGATCCCGCCCGGCGGCGCCGGGAAACCAGGGATTGTGGGGTCATGGAGCGGTTTGGGATCAAGGCACCCTGCAGATCATCCAGTGCCACCCCCTGCCGTGGGCAGGGACACCTCTCACTAGCCCAGGTTGTTCCAAGCCCCGTCCAGCCTGGCCTTGGACTCTGCCAGGGATGCAGGGGCAGCCACAGCTCCTCTGGGCAGCCTGTGCCACAGCGCGACCCTGCGCGCTGCCAGCTGCACTTTGCTTTCGTAACTGAGTATCCTGCCATCAGTCATTTCCCACTGCTTGCAACGTGAGTTAACTCATCTGGGGACAGAGGGGCTGGAGAGCTGGGAAAGGCCCTGGGGGTGCTGGTGGCAGCGGCTGGACACGATCCCGGCTGTGCCCAGGGGGACACGAGGCCAATGGGGCACTGCTGTGTCACAGGGCCAGGGCAGTGCCCTCCCTGTGCTGGCACTGCTGGGGCACCCCCAGTGCTGGGGCAGGGCTGGCCCCTCACACCAGAGACACAGGGAGGGGCTGGAGCGTGGGCAGGGAAGGGAACGGAGCTGGGAAGGGGCTGGAGCAGCAGGAGGGGCTGAGGGAGCTGGGGGGGCTCAGCCTGGAGAAAAGGAGGCTCAAGGGGGACCTTCTGACTCTGAAATCCCTGACAGGAGGGGGGAGCCGGGGGGGTGTCGGGCTCTGCTCCCAGGGAACAGGGCCAGGAGGAGAGGGAACGGCCTCCAGCTGTGCCAGGGGAGGGACAGGGGGGATATTGGGACAATTCCTGCATGGAAAGGGCTGTCCAGCCCTGGCAGGGGCTGCCCAGGGAGGTTTGGAGTGCCCAGCCCTGGAGGTGTCCCAGGCAGGCCTGGCCGTGGCACTCAGTGCTCTGGGCTGGGGGACAGGGTTGGCATTGGGCACAGGTTGGACTTGATTATCTTGGAGGACTTTTCAAACCTCCGTGATCCTGTGAAAAGGTTTTGTAGGAGTCCTGTCTCTCCCAAGGTGGGGCTCTGAAGAGAGACACTGGGGTTTATTTAATATCTTGGTCTCCCAGCCCTCCTGGTGCCTGCAGGCAGCTGCCCCCGCTCTTAGTGGGGTCCCAGCTCTGTGTGCAGAACCCCTGGACCCCGGCAGTGTCTCCTCTCCGTGAGCTGACACAGCAGACACGCAGGAGTTTGCAGCTTCCCAGAGAAGGTTTATTTTTAGTACTTTGCTGGATCAGGGTAAGGGCACTGTACAAACACTTCCTCTCTGTCACTGAGCAGACAAGGGGAAGCTCCAGTGTCCGTGGAGAGCTCTGTGGCACAGGCCCTGCCACGGCTCCCGGCTGGGGACCCACGGGACAGCGGCTCCCAGTCACTCCAAAAAGGCTTATGAGCATTAGATGTTTGCATCGATGTTACAACAACCTTTTGACTTAGTGAGCTTGTTCATGGCCTTCAGCACTTCAAAGAAGTTCATCTTTAGGGTCCTAGAGAGGAAGTGGTACCACACAGAACCACAGAGTCGCTGAGGTGGGAAAAGCACTCCCAGACCTTGGAGTGCACCCTGTGCCCCATCCCCACCTTGTCACCCAGCCCAGAGCACTGAGTGCCACGTCCAGGCCTTCCTTGGACACCTCCAGGAGTGGGGACTTCAGTGCCTGACCACCCTTTCCATAAACAGATTCTCCCTGAGAACCTCACTTATCCGTCTATATAATATCTATATATCTATATAATCCGTCTGTATAACAAGGTGGAGTATTTTCTGTCTGTTTTCTAGGGCTGGCCCCGCTGTGAAATTGTTAAGTGTTATTCCCTGAGAGAAATGGTCCCACAGGAGACACCCCCACCAAGGATGAGGACAACTTTGCCCTTGGTTGCTTCCTCAGGAGACCACGGTTGCAGGGCTGGTATGTTTGGTGTGGGGGTGTCCTGGGAGAGGTGGAACAGCTCTCACATTTCCCCACACCACACCCTCTCTGGGCTCTTCTGGGGTACTGATCTGCTGTGACTGGGGGAAATTACCCAGTTAGGAGGAATGGGGTGGAAGGGGAGAGCCAGCAGGTCCCAGCAGCCTCTTCCTGGGCTTGCCATGGCCAGCTGAGCGCTGGGAGTTGCAACAGCCGGCACTGGAGACGCGTGTCCTGTGTGTGCCCTCCGGATCTGCCCTGGGGACGGGAACAGTGAATCACCAGCGAGTTGTGCAACAGGGTTTGAGGTTGGGGAGGTTCACTGGGGAGAGCTGTTACTCACCCTGGGCTTGCTGGTCACTCAAACCCTCTCAGAGCAGGGCCCAGCCCGTGGTGTGTGCGGGGATGGAAGAGCCTTTGTTGTCCTCCTGAACAATCCACTTTGTGTTCTCCAGCTCCTCCCCCAGCCAAGGCAGGGCCAGGGGCTCTGCTGCCAGGCCCAGGCACAGGTCAGGCCATGTGAGGAGGTTCTGGGCCCAGCAATCCTGGTTGCTCACCTTGAGGGATGAGCTCCCATGGAGCACAGACCATCCCAGGGCACCTCCAACTCCCACCAGTTCGGGAATGGGTGGAACCCAAACCTTGTGTAAGGACAAGAGCCCCAACTGAGCTGTTAAACAGCCCCAGATGCTCAGGGAGTTGTGTGAGGAGGAACAGAAAAGGGGCTGGAGTGGCTCCACCTGCTGCCACAGGACACTGTCCTCTTGGCAGAGGTGCCCACAGTGAGGTCTGAGCTCTGGGCAGGAGCAGGAGCTCTGAACTCCAGCCACCCCTCCAGCCACAGCCATGGGCAGGGCCCAGGGCCTGTTTTATTTCACTGTTGTCATCATCGAGGCAGGAGAACTCAAATACACGGAATCACAGAATCCCTGAGGTTGGGAAAGCCCTCCCAGGCCACGGAGTCCACCCTGTCCCCCAGCCCAGAGCACTGAGTGCCACGGCCAGGCCTGCCTGGGACACCTCCAGGGCTGGGCACTCCAAACCTCCCTGGGCAGCCCCTACCAGGGCCTGACCACCCTTTCCAGGGACAAATTCCTCCTCATGTCCCCCCTGCCCCTCCCCTGGCCCAGCTGGAGGCCGTTCCCTCTCCTCCTGGCCCTGTTCCCTGGGAGCAGAGCCTGACCCCCCCCCCGGCTCCCCCCTCCTGTCAGGGATTGCAGAGCCAGGAGGTCCCCCCTGAGCCTCCTTTTCTCCAGGCTGAGCCCCCCCAGCTCTGGTGAATTTTTTGAGACACCCTGGAAAGCCCAATGTAAGAAAGAAGCTTTGCCAGAAAGTTGAATTCCTGAGGAGGGGAAGTGACATCGATGCAAAGAAGGGTCCCTTACCCTGCTCTTTTCCAAACATGGTGTTGGCTCTCACCAGACTTCCAGCCAACATCCTGCCTCCAGCTGATCCTCACAGCCACATGGAGCAGCTCCTGATAAGGCCATTTGGGCAGTGGCAGGAGAGGACGGTGTTTGGAGCAGCTCCTGCCACTGCTGCTGGCTGGGTCAGGCTCTCCCCGCCTTGGATCTCACCTCGCTGCCCCTCCCAGGCAGGTGGACAGACAGAGCATGAGAGAAACAAGAAAGGCAGCTCCTACCCCTGCAGTGGGGATCCCTATTCCAGTTTCTGTTCCAGCCACCGTGTTGGGCGCAGAAGGACTCGGTCAGCGCTCCAGGAGACAGGGAGGACACAGAGGGCCCGCAGAGCCTTTGCCAGGTGGCTCCATGTGCTGGACACAGCTCTTATTTCTGCACAGTCACCTCAGCCTGGCTTCTGGCGTGGCAG